GAACTCGCGCCACAAGTGCTGGAGTACCAAGCTCTGACATCGGCAGCTCATCCAACACAGATGGATTGTTCTCTACAGAAGAATCAACCTGAGGAAGATCCTTGCCTTCCTCCTCAGACTCAGACCACAATAGAACTGAATCTTAGCGGCCAGAGGAGCTGTAGGTGCCAGAGCTGGAGACTCCAGCCTTGGGGGTGACAGTCCCAGTAGTGCATCAGTCTCTGGCTGACTACCCTCAAACGATGCGATGCTTCGATTCGATCAGCCATGGCTTTCATAGCTTGCTCCCTTTCCATACTGTCCTTCTTTCTCTTCAAAAACCCAACCCTGTTTTTCTTCCTTTCCCCCTTACTAAGAGCCACAGGAAACGTTGGAGGGTCATAAGGCAATGACTTACACCCTCTGCCACAACCGAAGACAGGCATGTGGTCTTCCAGAAAGGGAGAGAAATTCATAGCGTAGGGCCCAACGACATTGTCTTTACGCTTTTCTTTACTCATTACATCTTTTAAAATACTATGACAATTTACACATAGAATGGGTGCAGCTACCTCCCCATCAGGACTAGTTACACTCTGCTGCTGGACAAAGGCTTGGGTCGGAGGCAGGAAGGGTCCCTCATTCATAGGGGTCTCTCTCACAGGAAGCGATGGGGTCGTCAGGTCAGGGGTGTGAAGTAGGGTTGGGACCACATAACTGGCTGGTTACTTAATTTGAAGAAGTAGTGTTTTGATTCAATTAAATTATTTTAAGGCGTGGAAGGGAAGTGGCAGCTGTATGATTGCAAGTCTACCATAAAGGTACGGTGAGATAACAAATACATGCTTTATTCTATTGATTTTTCAAGCTAAATGTTCTTATTCTTTGCAGTGCTCTTTAATTAGATAATTTAATTATTAGATGGGTTAACAAATGTTTTTAGGGCAGTTATTAACAAATATGCAGTAACAATACAATTCTAGAGGGGGAAATTACTCAAAACAATTCTCAAATCAGTATTTAACCAATTCAAATCTTTTTATTTTATCATAAATTATACAACTTGCTTTCTGTTTGGATTTAATACTACTATTGCAACATTTTATAAGTTTATTTGCAAACATAAACTTATAAGGTACACTCTATACAGTATTGGACAAAAAAGAAAATCTGAGACTTCAGAAGTTTACTCTAATCAATGTTAAAGGTAGATTATCTAAATCAAATCATGGTCTAAATACTCTATATTGGATATCCAGGAGTATAACTGGAATGGATATAGGAATATATCGGATATCTAGGAATATATTGGATTATAGGAATATATTGGATTACAGGAATATATTATATATCTAGGAGTATACTGGATATCAAGGAGTATATTTGATATCTAGGAGTTCATTGGATATCTAGGAGTATATCAGATAACTAGGAGTATATTGGATATCTAGGAATATATTGAATATCTAGGATTATATTGCATATCTAGGATTATATTGGATATCTGGGAATACATTGGATATCAAGACAAAACGTTGGACATCTAGAAGTTTGGTAGATATCTAGAAGTATATTGGATATCTAGGAATATATTGGATATCTAGGAATATATTGGATATCAAGGAGTACATTGGATATCTAAGAATATATTGGATATCTAAGAATATATTGGATTCTATGAGTATATTGGATATCTAGGAGTATACTGGATATCAAGAAGTATATTTAATATCTAGGATTTTATTGGATATCTAGGAGTATATGGGATATATAGGAGTATAACAGATAATTAGGAGTATCTTGGATATCTAGGAAAATATTTAATATACACATAGACCTGAATGTGGATATCTGAAAATCAATTTAGAAGTAGTTTTCAATTTAGGCAAGAATAAATGAGACAATTCCATGCTCCTTGATCCTGTGACAACAAGAGCTCTGGAGCAGTTGGTAAGAATGTGGTATGAAGTAAAAGTTTGTTGCACTGTTTAGATGTCGAGGATGGGGATCTTTGAAGTTGAGGTTTTTAAAAAGATTTTGAAAACATTTAAATTAGAGTTTTTGCGAAAAAAGGGGATATTTTGCTGGTTTATATTATTTTGTTCAATTTGGCATTAGATTGGTACTAATTTTTATTCGCTATGAGATTTTTTCAAACATAAATTTTTAATCGTTTTAAGTTATTGCATGTTTCTTTTATGACATTTATTTGCGAATTTAGATAAGAATAAATGAAAAGGATACATTTCAATCCAATTCAATCTAAATTTCATTTATCTAGAATAATCCCTTTAAAGGGAGTGTCTGGCTAGACATGGTAGTTGAGCCAATAATGTGGTATTGTAGAGAAATTTATAAGGATTAATTAGAGACCTATCAGACATTTTTACAGTGCATATTTGTTCAGCAAGAGTACAAATTCAAACTTGTTCATTTTGAGGGATGATTTTGAAAAACAGTGCTCTTGCTGAACAACTCTCTCAAAAGCAAAATGTTTAGGGAGTCCAACAGACATCATTTTGGCATACCCAATGAAGACAAAAGTTACTTAGTCCCGCATTCTACACTGCAGAAGTCTTGCCCAGCTGCTGGTATACAATATATACCCGCTAACTGGCGAAGACACTTCCTCCGAACTGGGACATCAGTTGAAATGAAAAATGCTAGTTAAACTACATTCGAACAGTTAGCAAGACACTCAGGTATTCTGTGGATATATTTTGTGAAAACTCGCAATTTAACTACTTAAAACATACATGAATTGAAAATTATAATGAATCTATTCTTACTGAAATAATATTATTCTACTCTTGTTATGGATTTAAAGTTTTTCCTGGTTCAATTTGGACCCGCAAAGGAACTTTCCTCAAAGTTCAAATGAATTATAAACTTTAAAAACTTTTTTTTATTTAAAAGTCAGGTCAAAATTGGTTTATTACATTGGAAACCATAGTGTTAGGTCATATGCCAGCAATCGCAGAAACACACTATCAATTGCAAACCGATATAGGTAAGATTTTCTTAATTATATTTTTCGAATGAGTAGGTAAGTTATTTTTGCCATTTAAGCTGGTTTTAGCTCAAAAATCATGTAAAAGTTATTTTATGACTAAGTACGGGTAAACTGCAAGGTTAACTATGAGTAACCTGGGCTATGTTATTTGTGTAATATGTCAAATATTCAGTTATCCCTTGTATTCAGAATTCTCTGTATCACTTTCTTTGTCAACACAGAATCAACTGTATACATTATACAACAAATCAATCAGTTGTTTACCTAATATGTACAATTCTTTTTGTTTAATTGAACGTGGACAGATTTCCGGTATTCTGGAAATGGTAACGAATGCTGGGCAACTCCCTCCAGCTGAGGTGGGTCAAGATGAAGAAGATGAAGATGAAAATAAAGCAGAAGAATCTCTCCATGAATATGATGAAGAATACAAGCTGGATGAACCCTTCTCCAAAGAAGATGAAAATCGGATATACCAACGAAGAGAGAGAGAAAATCTTTAACTATTTACTGAAATGGTAGCTGATGTTAAACAACCAAAGGATTCAGATTGTAAAGGTGACTATTACAATTCATATAGATTGTTACTGGAGAAAGGTTAGATTATTATATTAAATAAGGACGTAAGAAAGGCTCAGTTTCATTTGCCATATTATTTTTGCCATAATTACACTTGACATAATACTTTTGCCATAAGTAACACTTGCCATAAGTTACACTTGCCATAAGTCACACTTGCCATAAGTTACACTTGCCATAATGGTTAGACTTGCCATAATTACACTTGCTATAATTACTTTTGTCAAAATTTTCTAATTTCTGAAAAGATGAAAATCTGTCTTTTTAATTTCAAATGCAGGAACTTTACCCATCAAAATTCCCAACTCCCAAAACAGAACAGTTGACACAAGTTCAGCTCCATATTTTCTCACAATGGAGGACCCTTTAGTGACCTTTGAGTAAAGGTAAACCAATGGTTCTTGACGGCAACAACTACACCTATGTAGCCAATGCCTCATCTACAGAAGTGAAATATTGGAAATGTTCGGTTAAAATGTGCTCTGCTAGAATTCAAACCCGAATTTCTTCCTCAAACCTACAAGAGGATTGCTAACATTAACCTACAGTATAACTTTTTCCATAGAAGAGTTCCTAAACCTGATAGCTCATGATCTGTCTCTGCATTAGATTTGTAATTTGTATTCAATTTGTAATTGTAAAACAATTTAAATATATGTTTTTTTAATTCAAATCAAATTTGATTTTAATTATGGCAAGAGTAATTATAGCAAATTTAATAATTAAAGAGCTTGTTTGATAGCTAACTGTGTCCTTGTTGAAACATATTGACTAGGATCATACCTCGGTATTTAGTATAGATCAATTAAGAGCTTGTTTGATAGCTATGCTTGTGTCCTTGAGTGGCTTGTGTCCATATTGACACCGATAGCTGACAAGATCGCGCCCAGTGGTAGTGGGATAGATAGTTCACAGGATTGTAGCCGTTTTAGATCATGTCCTTTTTGACAGGTTGTACCTGGATAGATACATTTCAAGGACTTGTTATGGAGTAGGCGTTTACTACAGATAAAAACGATGAAGATCATGGTAAATATTTTTCAAATCAAACACATTGCCAAAGTTGTAGGCCTTTTTTCTAAGTGAAAAAAGGCATGGGCATGAGAAACCACACATTTCGAAGACGAATAAGTATGGTCAATGCCAGTTGGTAAAGCATATACCTTGGGAACCCAGCGCTGCCAAGGTTACTAAAACTTACTCCCCCCTTTTACCCCCATTTGGACGATTTTATCGGAAACTAAATTTTCGCAATTAAAGCCAACCATCTCAACTTAGAATCTTAAAACCAAGCTGAGAAAATTCCTGTGGATCTCCCGAGTTCCCCTTTCAAAATTGAGTCAAATTGGTCAACGTTCCTAAGTTATGATCGGACAAACCAACAGAGAATACAACTTTATACATACATTTCTCAATAAATAATACTTACAACTTGTATTTGCTGGGATCGTGGAAAGTTTCAAAGAGATCAAATCTGTTAGTTCCAGTATTATACTTGTAACAGGAGCCTAAATAGAGATCAAATCTGCTAGTTCCAGTATTATATTTGTAACAGGAACCTAAATAGAGATCCAATCTACTAGTTCCAGTATTATACTTGTAACAGGAACCTAAATAGAGACCCAATCTACTAGTTCCAGTATTATACTTGTAACAGGAACATAAATAGAGATCAAATCTACTAGTTCCAGTATTATACTTGTAACAGGAACCTAAATATAGATCAAATCTACTAGTTCCAGTATTATACTTGTAACAGGAACCTAAATAGAGATAAAATCTGTTAAATCCAGTATGATAGTTGTAACAGGAACCTAAAGGAATTAAATTTTGGCCACAAACTTAATTCTTCTGATTCCAATATCTTTGCAACCTTAAGGTGCAAACCTTTCATATTTTCATTCATTTTCATTTATTTAGATTATTTTATCTATTTGTATTAATAGTTTGAAATATCTAGGGTCTACGGCATTGGGTTGCAAAGATATAGAGATTTGAAAATCAGAGTTTGTTGTAAAAACTCCTTTAATAACAAATCAAATACTTTTCCTGTAACTCTAGTAAAATGATATAAATTACTTTTGCTTTATATTCTTAAACCCCTCTCATATCAAAATGGAAAAGCCTCTGATTGGTTGAATCAATGAGCCAATGAGAATGAAATATTGATCTTATATAAATTTAACTATTTCAATTCATTCAAAACTACCAGCAATTATATTTTAAGAGTTCAATACCAATAAATGTCATAAGTGTTAGAGTCCTTGGCTGATTGGTCCTTGGAGCGCATGCGTACATGCTTCCTGATTCAGAAACCAGCTCTCCACCAAACCAAATATTTGATTCATCTCCTGACAAAGTTTTAGATATTTCTAAACAGAAGTTTTAGATATTTTTAATCAGAAGATTTAGATATTTCTAAACAGAAGTTTTATATATTTCTAAACAGAAGGTTTAGGTATTTCTAAACAGAAGTTTTAGATATTTCTAAACAGAAGCTTTGTATATTTCTAAACAGAAGGTTTAGATATTTCTAAACAGAAGATTACGAAATTTCTAATGCAGAAGTTTTAGACATTTTTAAACAGAAGGTTTAGATATTTCTAAACAGAAGTTTTAGATATTTCTAAACAGAAGGTTTAGATATTTCTAAACAGAAGTTTTAGATATTTCTAAACAGAAGGTTTAGATATTTCTAAACAGAAGTTTTAGATATTTCTAAACAGAAGCTTTACATATTTCTAAACAGAAGGTTTAGATATTTCTAAACAAGAGGTTTAGATATTTTCAAACATAAGATTTAAATATTTCTGAACAGAAGGTTTAGATATTTCTAAACAAAAGTTTTATATATTTCTAAACAGAAGTTTAAGATATTTCTAAACAGAAGGTTAAGATATTTCTAAACAGAAGTTTAAGATATTTCTAAACAGAAGATTACGATATTTCTAAACAGAAGATTAAGATATTTCTAAACAGAAGATTAAGATATTTTTAAACAAATTAATAGTAAACACTGCATATTATTCTATTTTGTATTTATTAGTTGATCGTGAATCATTAGTTTCAGCTGATTAAATCTAAACTTTTATCATTTATCATAATTATGTTCATATTACCGACTCTAGCAGAATCCCTGGAGACAATCAAACATTTTCTGTTTTCAGGACATTTATAAACCTCTCCGTCTTTTCTACCATTGTTTACCGCTCGCGGAGCACTCACATACAGGTCTTTCTACAATAAAGTAGTTGAAGAAGGGTACCTGGATTTAAAAGGATTTGGAAAAGAGACTGTAAGCAAAATTTTAGATGACCTTCCGGCAAAAAATGGGAACAGTCCTAATTTAAATCAGAATCAGGCTGATTCGACTGAATAATGACGATGGAGTTCTTTGTGTGTTCTTAAAACTTGAGTGTACATTAACGTACACTGTGAACTCTCAAAAGTCTAGAGTATTCTATGACCAATGTAAATGTTTGTATTTTACGATTTCTGGAGAGAAAATACCAATATTTTTTTTTCATAAATATAGATCCTTGATCAGAATAAGGTTTTAAGGACATGTCGTTACTCGGACAAATTACTTTAACAAGGACGAGTCACTCTTTTAGAAGGTTTCAGGCAACCCTGAATTTTGGAATGTTTTGTGAAACAAAATAAGGATATTTCATTCATTCTAGATCTTAAAAGGAATACCTACAGATACGCATAGGTACATGATTGAAAGTATTTCACAATGTGTACATGTAAAAACTATGTTAGCTAGCAGTTGCGTGTCTTTCTATGAGACTATTGAAGCAAGTTCAAAAGCTTTGCATTAGATTTCTTTCTAATTTATGCAAAAATGACCTTAACACAGTTCTTGGCAGAAATTTATTTTCCCTTGCAAATGATTGTTCTGTAAATCTTTCTGATCGTAGTAAAATGTTAGTGTAACAGTGGGCGAGTTTTGTTGATCTTTTACGATCAGCAATTCAAGGAAATACAAACAAACAGACAGACAAGCCAAATTTATATTTAGATTTATATCTTTGTGTGTGAATAAATCTTTATAACAATAAAGGGTATCCTAGTGAATCAGACATGCCAGTCTATAAGTAAAGCCTCTAATGAACAATACATACGTTAAAATATTCCATTTTCCATCCAAACAAAGAATCATTCTGATTTGTAGGGTCGGAAACTACTCGGACTGTGTCTAAAAAAATAAAGAGAAAAAAACTGAATCGTCATGACAATTAGTACAAAATTGCTGCTCACGGGCAGTCGTAGTACATTTGAATTTCCGAGCCGGGTCAACCTTTCCGGTCCCAGTTTGTACTGTACCTAGCTCTATGAACAGGACTAGCCGGTGCAACAAGGTTGACGCGGTCAGGCTTTATGCTTCATATAGGTTGAAATTACTTTTACTAAAGGAGTGTGCTTGAACAATTTAACTGTAATATCAACAGACTTTATTTAAATAATTTATCAAAAAGTATATAGTTTATATATAGTTTATATATAGTTTATATATAGTTTAACCAAGAACTTTAAAAGAAATTATAAAATGTCATCTTTACCATTTTCCAATACACTATTACACTATTATACCTAAATCTTAATAATTGTAAAAATGAATAAAAGCCTTAAAAATGTGGGAACAGTTTTAAAGAGTTTCGCATTATTATTTAATTAACAAGCTAAATATCTCCAGCATTCCATTATCTAGGTTAAGAAAACGACGTTTTCACGGGCAGCCGTAGTACATTTGAATTTCCGAGCCGGGTCAACCTTTCCAGTCTCATTTTGTACTGTTAGCTCTATAGACAGGACTAGCCGGGCAACAAGGTTGACGCGGTCAGACCATGCTTCAGATAGGTTGAATTTACTTTTACTAAAGGGGATCTAGAAGTGCGTGTTTTATTCATTTTTTCGATGCCACCAAAAGAACTAGGGTTAACGGTAGAATTTAAAAAAACACATTAAATTTGTGTTACCTATATCTATGTTGTACCCTATTATAGCCGTAAAATTATGGCATATTGCTAAGATCCAAACCGGAGAGAATTTCATTTTTCTGAAAATATATTATTTTTTCATAGTTTTTTTTAATAGTTTAATTTTGATCACAAGATTAAACAAATACAACGAATTTTAAACCAAGTTTGTGTGCATTTAAAAGGTCTCAGCATAGAGCATTACAATATAATAATAATTTCAAGTTTAAGATTAAGATTAAGCCAAAATATGTTGATAACTTTATCAATGTAAACATTTTTGTTTGATATATGTTAGATTTTCAATCGTTCAAAAGAGTAGAGGAGGGGGGGGGGATGTTATTTCCCTTCCCTCTATTTTCCAGAACAATACGAGTTTAACAAATAAATTGTTTCTTAAAACAAATTCTTTTTTTCCTTCAGAGTTAGAAAGTTAGGTCTCAGGGGACAAACATTCACAACTTGAAGGACCTGTCAACCTGATTACAAGTAAACATCACTAGAGGGACCTGTCAACCTGATTACAAGTAAACATCACTTGAAGGACCTGTCAACCTGATTACATGTAAACATCACTTGAGGGACCTGTCAACCTGATTACATGTAAACATCACTTGAGGGACCTGTCAACCTGATTACATGTAAACATCACTTGAAGGACCTGTCAACCTGATTACAAGTAAACATCACTTGAGGGACCTGTCAACCTGATTACAAGTAAACATCACTTGAGGGACCTGTCAACCTGATTACATGTAAACATCACTTGAAGGACCTGTCAACCTGATAACATTTAAAGATCACAAGAGGGACCTGTCAACCTGATTACATGTAAACATCACTTGAGGGACCTGTCAACCTGATTAAATGTAAACATCACTTGAGGGACCTGTCAACCTGATTACATGTAAACATCACTTGAAGGACCTGTCAACCTGATAACATGTAAACATCACTTGAAGGACCTGTCAACCTGATTACATGTAAACATCACTTGACGGACCTGTCAACCTGATTACAAGTAAAAATCACTAGAGGGACCTGTCAACCTGATTACAAGTAAACATCACTTGACGGACCTGTCAACCTGATTACAAGTAAAAATCACTAGAGGGACCTGTCAACCTGATTACAAGTAAAAATCACTAGAGGGACCTGTCAACCTGATTACAAGTAAACATCACTTAAGGGACCTGTCAACCTGATTACATGTAAACATCAAATGAGGGACCTGTCAACCTCATTACAAGTAAACATCACTAGAGGGACCTACGTCAACCTGATTACAAGTAAACATCACTTGAAGGACCTGTCAACCTGATCACATGTAAACATCACTTGAAGGACCTGTCAACCTTGATTACAAGTAAAAATCACTAGAGGGACCTGTCAACCTGATTACAAGTAAACATCACTTGAAGGACCTGTCATCCTGATTACATTTAAACATATTTTTATACAGTGGCATGTACGATTTATAAAGCTTTATATGATAAAGAATGTAATATATATCCATGTTAATGATTATTTAAGAAACTTCAATTAAGAAAGTTCCAAAAAAGTAGTTAATAACTTCTTTTTTTATAAATTAAGCTACAGATATCTATATCTTTAAAAAAGAATGTAAATAATTACATGTTAATATTTGTCAAAATTAAAATAATATTATTCAACGTTTTTACAACACTTTTCTAAACTGTTTTTAAAAACCTACCCCCAGCGCCCTATCCTATAAAGTAAGAGGTCTAAATTTCATATTGAGCTGGACTTGAAAAGGTCTAAGGGAAAAATCATAAAGGGGATGGAAAACACCCCCCCCCCCCGCACCCCTATGTATATTAGACAAAAATAGCACGGCATAGTGTTGATCAATTAATAACAAATAATATTAATTCGTTTAATACACATTATCGATACTATTTATCAGATTAAGGTTTCAATGTCACCATTGTGAATCGGTCAATGGGGCATGGTACCCTTTATGTTGAGGTTCAATTGAAACAACATCGTGCAAAATTAGTATTTTTAAAATTTAAATTTTAAAGTTATACTGCAATATTTCACAAAATAATGGCGTAATAACAAGGCATAATAAGGCACAACAATAGCAAAAACTTCACGCAATCAAAGTAAAATTTTGCAAAATTATTTGTAGAAATTACGCAAGATTTCACAGTAATTTTGCGAAAATTTAAATTTTGCGCAAATTACTTTATAGAAATTACACGAAATTACGCAGTAATTTCGCAAAATTGATGTTTCGCCAATTACGCGTAATCCTCAAAATTACATGAAATGAAAATTATTTTGCGTATCTGTAAATAATTGAATAATCTATTGGGAGACCCCACACAAAATTTGGACCCAATCAGTACAAGCCGTTGGAAGTTTCCTGGATAAAAACACACAAACATTCAAACAAACAGACAAGCAATGTATATATATATAGATGAGCGAAGACTGAAGAGCTTTATTATATATATTTTAATTCATTTAGATTTCTTATTATATAAAGTTTTATTTAGTACACGATAAAAAGAGGGGAAATAATTCTTCCATTTTGAATTACTGGGTCTGGGTTTTATTAAATCTGCCAAAATTCTTTCTTTGAACTAAACATCTCTAGATCTAGATTAAACGGTGGTAGGCGGTTATATCAATAAAAAACGAATTTCGATTTCAATTTTGATTTAAATCAAGCTAAAATACAACATGGATAAAGACAAATATAGAATCAAAGAGAATTTGTCAATTAAAAAAGGTTTTCTTCATTTACTTGTAAACTTATAATTCGAAAGAAGCTTTTTAACACTTAAAACTTAATAACAAAGTCCCCTTCATTATATTGATATAATCGCTTACCACTGTATATATTCTTCATTATATTGATATAATCGCTTACCACTGTATATATTCTTAATTATATTGATATAATCGCTTACCACCTTATATATTCTTCATTATATTGATATAATCGCTTACCACTGTATATATTCTTCATTATATTGATATAATCGCTTACCACTGTATATATTCTTCATTATATTGATATAATCGCTTACCACCGTATATATTCTTCATTATATTGATATAATTGCTTACCACCGTATATATTCTTCTTTATATTGATATAATCGCTTACCACCGTATATATTCTTCATTATATTGATATAATCGCTTACCACCGTATATATTCTTCTTTATATTGATATAATCGCATACCACTGTATATATTCTTCTTTGCCCTGTATATTCCAGAAATAGTGAATACTTTCTTCTGATTCTAAATTATAATTCGTGTATCTTTACGTGTGAGAACTTTTTATAAATCGGAATTTATTAAATCGGAATTTGTTAAAGTTTGAACTTCTGCTTTATAATTTAAAACTAACTGTTTTCAACTGTGAATTCTGTACAAAGTGACTTGAAAACTTCTATTACATAAGAAACATTGTGTTAAATTCAAAATTTAACACTTTTTAAAATGTTATTTTCCAGACGACTACGTAAATAATGTTTATTAGGGTACGCCAGTACGCCGGTACGATCGTGAACCAGGAGATGTCCCTCTTAAAATAGATAACAATCCCTTTAAAAAAAGAAAGATTAGCAGATAGATAAACAGAAAAGATTTGAGCTTTTAAAATAATAAAAATAAAAATGGATGCGAAGCTCTCTTGAAGCCTAAGTTAACAAATATATCTCATAATATTATATATTGTATATAACACATATACCAGAATACAAGTATGTTAAACTAAACTTATTATCAACTAAACTAATTTAGTATTTATCGCCAGTAATTTCCTGCCTATAAGGGTTTGATAGCAGAAGCATTTAGTAAATTTAATTGAATATTTACTTTAAACAATTAGGAGTGCTGACGTAAGAGGGTGGGGGTGAGCTTTTATAAATCAACAAAATTTGGTTTTAACATTAATAAATACATTTTTTTAAATTGTTGATTTTCTTCATTTATTTAATGATTTAAGCAACATCGCTGAACTACTGGTTCAAATTTGAACCACCTGATTCAAATTGTATTGTTTAAGAACTGTACACGGTAAAAAGTCTCATTGGTATCAATTATAAATCTTTTCTCTCTACAATACTGCATTCTCAGTTCAAATATGTTACAAAGCCGGACTCTCCCTTTTAGTATATAAATTGCTTTTATTTAGGGTGTCCAAATTTTCGAAATTTTAGAAATTTTCGACCTTTTTCGTTCAGAATCTTATATTTTTTCTCGCAAAAATACAATTTTCTTGATGCAAAACAGAAAAATTTTGATTTTTATCAAAAGAAAAATTGAACGAAAATTTCGCAATAATTAGGTCGAAAATTTCGTTGAAAATATATCGAAATTCGCGAAAATTTAGTTCAACAAAAATTTCGATGGAAACCATACGTTTAGTTTGATGCTAACTGTAAGTTAAGTTAGACTCAGACTAATAAAAACGTTATAAGGTTTTGCTTTTAGTTTAGTTTTTTTTTAAAATATTAATAAAAAAGCTGATTAGAATTGCAATACTAAACGTAGGTTCAATCTCAAATAAAAAAATGTTCAGAATTTATTTTTGGCTCCACTTTTTTACCGGTATTTTATGTTTCAAATGTAATCCAACTTATATTCATTCATTCATTTGGTTCAACATCCCTGTTTTAGTTATTGTCTGAAAAATATGCATCAAAGGATATTGAGTATTTATAACAAACTCTGATTTGCTAATACCTATATTTTTTTTTCACCTGATGGAGTAAACCTTTGATGTTTCAAACTTAGAACAGAATTCATAGTTTGAAATATCTAAGGTCTACGACATTGGATTAAAAAGATATAGAGATTAGAAAATCATAGTTTTGACAAAGACTCAATTCCGTAAGAGATGAAATTTTATCTACATAGTTTTAATGAATTCCACCTTGTTCTAATACAAGGAAGGTTGTTGTTTACTCTCGATCTCGATGTACGGAAAATAGTCTGCATAGCAGTGACGTTATATGCGGATTTTTCAATCTTTCCATATATTGGAGCATCTATAAGCTCTAAATATCCCGACCATAGTAAACCCGGTGTCGTGAAGTCAGCTGCAGATATTTATTTGTGTATTTTTATCACTGGAATAATTTTAAATTGTTTGAATTTAAAAGAAATACGACATTTGAGAGATAATTACTCCCCTTTCTAAACATTTTAGAAGTTAACACAGATTCAATTTGAACTAAAAATATAATAATTTTTGTAATTTTTGAAAATGAACAATAAATGTCGTCTTCTTTCTTTTGATTTTTTAAAAAAAAAATAGTTAAAGTTATGAATTATGTTCGCATGTTAGTAAGATAACACAAATTGTCAAATATATATTTATTAATTTGAAGTTAACTAAAAGTGTGGAGAACTAAATAAACTTTTATCGATTCTCAAAACTCTAGTTAAATAAAAGACGACTTTCATAGTTCATTTATTTTTTCCATCATAAAACATCAAGGTTTTTATTAATTTTATTGGCAAATTACAATCAACCATTTTTTTTAAACAAACATTTAAAAACAAATCCTTTATAACTCTTTATTAGTTTTATCAAATTTTGAGAGCATAAACGTAACTCCGAGTCCAAAGAAGAGAATCATTAGCCCAAGAACATTCACAAGAATACCCTCCCCAGTTTTACTGGAGTAATCAGATCTGAAATAAAGAATATTTAGAACAGGCAACCTTTAACACATTCAATGAGAATTGATTAGGCAAAACTCGTTCCATTCGATTCACAAGGATACCCTTTAATCCTTTGTTTGAGTAAAAATGATTTAGTTTACACTCTTTTTCTATCTTAAATTCTTAATGTTTTTTTTCAATGCAGATATCTATAAAATAAACTTGCGTATTTAAGCAGTAAAACTTAAGTTCTGCTCGAAGGAATGTTTAACGTAATACACCACTTCTAAAGTTATTTCTAAAGCGTATTATTGCAACAAGTGCATTAGGCGTTTATAGGAAATCTTAATTTTAAGATTTTTTTTCTGGAAACTTACATCGCCCAAATAGATTTTTCCAGAAGACCCATCCAAGATGCAGCAATCACTAAACCGAATATACAGGATCCGTAATACTAAAAAAAAAAAATAAAAAATGTTGAAGTTATCTTAAGAACATATATGATAGTTCTTTAATATAAATTTCCAAATCCATTTGACCCTGGTTTTAAAAGTAAATGTCTTGCATTAATAAACACAAAACTTATATTTTACTTGTAGTAATGTACACAAGATATGAAGAAGTTTAGATAAATACATTCTTGGTTTTATAAAAAATAAATCATAATTTGAACAAAATTATAGATATCTCTTAAAGCACGAAAAAGGCAGACCACATTTTAAAAAGCCAAGAATATGGAATTTTAGGGAACTTGAAAAATTCATACTGCAACTTATTTTACAGGAGTAGGTTAGCTGTACTAACTAACCTGATAAAAGAGTAGATTAGCTCTCTACTAACCAACCTGATGAAAGGGTAGGTTAGCTCTACTAACTAACCTGATGAAAGGGTAGGTTAGCTTTACTAACCAACCTGATGAAAGGGTAGGTTAGCTCTACGAAATAACCTGATAAAAGAGTAGGTTAGCTCTCTACTAACTAACCTGATGAAAGGGTAGGTTAGCTCTACTAACTAAACTGATGAAAGGGTAGGTTAGCTTTACTAACTAACCTGATGAAAGGGTAGGTTAGCGTTACTAACTAACCTGATGAAAGGGTAGGTTAGCTCTACTAACTAACCCGATGAAATGTAGGTTAGCTCTACTAACTAACCTGATGAAAGGGTAGGTTAGCTTTACTAACTAACCTGATGAAAGGGTAGGTTAGCGTTACTAACTAAAAGGGTAGGTTAGCTCTACTAACTAACCCGATGAAATGTAGGTTAGCTCTACTAACTAACCTGATGAAAGGGTAGGTTAGCTCTACTAACTAACCTGATGAAAGGGTAGGTTAGCTCTACTAACTAACCTGGTGAAAGGGTAGGTTAGCTCTACTAACTAACCTGATAAAAGGGTAGGTTAGCTCTACTAACTAACCTGATGAAAGGGTAGGTTAGCTCTACTATCTAACCTGATGAAAGGGTAGTAGGTTAGCTCTAAGTTTAGGGCCAGCTATAGGAAATAAAAACACTGTAAGGCCTGAAATCCACTAGAAATACATAATTTTAATATGCAAAAGAATTTTTGTCTTGTAAATTGTTAACGATATAATTTAGAAACAGAAAGAGAAAAAATTGTCCAAAAGTCATAAAAATACATAAGTTAAAGTGCAAAGAATATGATTATTGTTCATTTAAAAAATTACAAATATTTATGGCTTACTGCCAAGGAAGACCACTAGTTATGAACCGTTCTTTTTGCTTAGTCTCAAAAGTCATGACTACTCTAATATAAATTAGTCTAAGTTGAACCTGAAGTCCGAAAAGAACAGCTGCCGTGAGACCTATCCAGCTGTGAAGAGTGTACATGTTTGGTATAGGAGGGGTTTTCAGATTGTGACTGTCGAATGCAGCCTAGAATAAATTAATCATAGATAATTAAAATAAGAGATAGGACACTAGATGTCGTCTTTTCAAGATTTGTTTCGTTCACAATAACCCTGAGTCAGAAGCCCAAAGGAGTTACGCGTAGTTAGCATAAAACAAAGACAGAGAGAGAGCCTGTTTATACGCCAACTATGTGTAACTATTTTGGGCTTCTGACTCAGGTTTATTGTAAACGTAATACACAGAATCTGTTATTTTAATTAACATAAAAAAAAACTAAACCATGAAATGACCCTTCCATTGAAAAAGGGCAGTCTGATTTACAACAGTACACTACAGTTTAAACTTTTATCTGATCAGTTTTGTGGAAGATATCGTCGTCTTTCAAGTATTAAATTCTGTTCCTCCATTACTTTACTCTACTAAATTTACAGTCACTTTTTAAAAGGAAACCACAAAAAAATAATAAAATTTCCTTGATATAAAAAACGATATCCTATTAAACCTTGATCATATAACTTTTTTTCCGACCCTTTTTTTGGCGTTTTTAACCCACCCTTTCAGTCAAACTATAAAAATATATTTTTTTGTTCAATATTATTTATAAATCACGATGTAAAAAGTGTAACAGAAGTCGAAAATATTATGTGAAGTATCTCAAATCTTTAACGCTGGTATTTCTTTTTTGGGGGGGGGGAGGGAACTCATAGTTTTTATTTATCTAGGGGGCAGCTGAACCCCCCAATACTAGTATTAATCCCTCCTGGTGTTTACCTTCAGGGCTACAATCATCATAGCAAAGACGACCAACATAGTTACACCATGCGCCATTTTTAATTTAGTTTTCATCAGCTGATCCATAGGCGGAATTATTCTGTATATCAAAGCTCCTGTAAAACACATAGGGTTACCTACAGTGATAACCAGACAATTATGGAATAGGAAGACGACTTTAAGGTTCAAGTTATGGAATAGGAAGACGACTTTAAGGTTCAAGTTATGGAATAGGAAGACGACTTTAAGGTTAAAGTTATGACTTTAGAGATAATGACCATGGGACACAGTAATTCTTCATAAACAGAACCATTTCACTTAATTTAATATAATCTAAAGTACTTTGTAATATTGTTAAATACGTTTGATTATTGCTGCATTATTGTCTTCCTACTCCGCAGTTGTCTGCAAAAATGTTAAAACTTAAAGAGTCAACGCCATTAATTCTAATCAGTGTTTTATTTTTATCTCTTTCATTCCTTTTTTAAATCAGTGAGTGTAATATGTTACAACTTACAACTATACCATTTCAAGGCTTTATTCGTGCATAGATCTAGGTCATCATCCAAGTCTTGTTATTTGTGTGTAACCCAGTATAATGTTACGGAAAACAAAACTAGGTTTTTTTTCTTCACTGAATTGGGCAAAATAATGTCTCGAAAAAAGTATTAAAAAGGATGAACAATAAGTTAATTGATTTTTTAAAATGATCATGAGAAGAGGGTGCCAGTTAAATGCATGACCGGGATCCTCAGCACCCCAAGCAAATCCTCCTCTTAATAATAACATGTATGCCCCACATTAAGAGTCTGGTCCATGGTATATTTGTGACAGGGAAACGGAAACTGATCTAATCACTCATTTTTTTCATTTCCGCGATTTCTTCAAATTTTTCGCAAATCCTTTTAACGTCAGATTTAGAGGAATTTCCTTTTTTGATCAATTTACCTAAATTTTAGATCCATTTCCGCTTTATTTAAATGAATTTTTCTAAAGTGTCAATATTTCACAAATTCTAGTCATTCTCTGCAATTTGAACTGAAGGGTCGGTGTTGCCTGTAATTAAAAAATATTATGTTTTTACAAATTCTAGATATTCTCTGCAATTTGTATATTTTCATAACAGACCCAACTATGAAAAATTCTTATATTTTTACATGCGGAAACAGAAAAAATGCACTAATAAGTCTTTACTAATTTAATGGAAGACCATGAAAAAAAGAATATTTACTGACCCATAATTACCTTATGAAGTTGAAAGTAAAAATAAATGCAGGATCATAATATAGTTTTTCTTTGAAAGGAACATTATAAGGCTCAAGCAAATTGAGATTTTAAAAGTTTTTGAAAAATCAAAAACAGATCAAAAATATTAAAATTTGAGGAAGCCAATCAACAAATTGAGATTTTTTAAGTTTAGAAAAAAGCAGAAACGAAACAAAAATATGAGGAAATGGACCTAAAATTTGAGGAAACTGATAAAAAATATGAGCAAACGGATTAATTTAATAGTTTTTGAAAAAGCAAAAACGGCTCAAAAATATGAGGAAACAGATTCAAAACTTGAGGAAACCAATCAACACATAGAGATGTTAAAAGTTTTTGAAAAAGCAGAAACTGATCGAATATGAGGAAACTGACTTAAACTTGAGAAAACCTATAAGTATACTGCAATTTTTAAGATTTAAAAAAAAGCAGAAACGGATCAAAAATTATAAGGAAACAGATTCAAAATTTGAGGACACCAATCAACAATTAAAGATTTTAAAAGTTTTGAAGAAAGTGGAAACAAATTTAAGATGTGAGGAAACAGACCTAAAATTTGAGGAAACCAATCAACAAATTTTTTTTTTAAAAGCCGGAATGGATCTTTAAAATATGAGGAAATGGACCTGACATTTAATTAAACCTATCATCAAATTGCGATTTTTAAGCTTTTTAAAATAAGCTGATATAGATAAAAAATATGAGGAAACAGGTTCAAAATTAGAGGACACAGATCAACAAAATGAGATTTTTAAAGTTTTTGAAAAAGCAGAAATGAATCTGAAGTATGAGGAAACGGATTTAAAATTTGATGAAACTGATCAATTTAAAAGTTTTTGAAAAAAGAGAAAACAGAACCATTTAAATAAAGATTGGGAAATAGATTCAAAATATTCGGAAATCCCTCAACATTACCTGTATTTTAGTGTCCAAACTAGAACCAGGATTACTGAAACCAAACCAGGAATCTAAATTTATTAGTATGAATTAAATGAATTGTACAATTATTAGTAGCATTTTTCAGGATGGGCCTGAAAACCCTCTGAAATATAGATTTCACTGGTCCAGGGGGGCTTAGCACCTTTAGCCCCTTCCTGTCTACGCCTCTGGCTGGATCAATAATTCAGAATCAAGAATCAAATTAAAAGTTCATGTGTCACAGATCGCTGTTAACACTATTTGAAGTACAGTACAAGAGGTTTTCTTTCCTTTGCCTCTCTCTGTGTCAAATTGTCCGCTGTTCCGAACTCTCTGAATTTCAGTAATGCCAACTCCCAGAAATTCCAACTCCCAAATTTTTGTCTTGAAAATTCCCCATTTTAACTAAAAATTTCCCATTATTTTACAGTACTAAATACACAGTAATGAAAATGCTAATAATGGTCAACTTAAGAAATCCCTTAAAATTAAGCATTATCAATATTATAAGAGCAGTTTTAGGGGAAAATTGCCTTTATCTAAATTAGATTTGGTCTATATCATGATTATATTTGCGTTAAGACAAAGTTTACAGACACTTTAGACAAAGTTTACAGACACTTTAGCCATAGTTTACTGACTGTTTAAACAAACTTTACTGTAGGTTTCAACAAAGTTTAATCTAGGTTTTGACAAAGTTTACTCAAGGTTTAAACAAAATTTACTGGAGGTTTAGTCCAAGTTTACTTAAGGTTTAGACAAAGTTCACTCAAGATTAAGAAAACATTTACTCAAGGAATACTGAAATTTATTGTATTGTAAATAAGAAATTTGTTAATAAATTTTACTTTAAAATTTCTCCTGTAAATGTTTCTTTAAATTACAAAATACTTAAGTATTAACTCCTTGAAATTGATTCCTCATCTCAAATTAGTGACAAATCTTTTGCCCTTATTGTCATATGTCAGTTTTTGAATTGATATATTTAGATGATGAATAATATTGATTATAACTGTGAGATCTGTGGAGGAGTATCTTACAGAAATTAGAGTGAGAGGGACATGGATGGAAGCTAGAGACTGCTAATTTCTAGCAGAATATCTTGATCATCAGATTAATTGTTGAACTATTCATCTTCCCTGAGAGGCACATTACCATTTAGTGCCAAAGTTTTTGATCATCAAAATGAAGAATGTAGAATTTTCAGATATTGTTGAATTGATAACATAAAAACAAATATTTTGTAATATATCAGATTAAACTTGCTAAATATCATGTAAAGTGATTAATTAAAGTTATACATTGATTTCTGTACTAGCAAACTGAAGTTATCAAACTAAAATATAATTTAAAACATTTCTTTTTTTTAAACTGGTCACATGGTTCATTTTAGATTTGAGGATGGATGCCATTTGAGGCTGTGACAATGGTGAAGATAGGGAAGAAGGGGCTTTAGGAGCTTTTTTAATCTTCCAGATCTATCTATCTAGCTCCAGTCTGCAGGACGTAAATGTGAAGAAGAATATCAAATATTCCAAATCGTAATATATCTAATACCAGTCTGCAGGGCATTAATGAGACGAATGTATATCAAAATTTCCAGTTATAATCTGAATAATTCCAATCTGCATGGCGTGTGTCAAGGATATCAATTATTCCAGATTTAATCTAAAAAATCCCAGTCTGCAGGGCGTGAATGTTAAGAAGGATATCACATATTCCAGATCTAATCTTAATAATTTCAGTCTGGAAGGCGAAATTTGAAGAAGGATTTAAAATATTTCAGAGCTAATTTGTCTAATTCCAGTCTGCAGGGCGTGAATGTGAAGAAGGATATGGAAAATTCCAGTTATAATCTGAATGAGTCCAGTCTGCAGGGCGTGAATATCAATGATATCGAATATTTCAGTTCTAATCTAAATAACTCCAGTCTGTGGGGCATTATTGTGAAGAAAAATATCTAAAACGTATGCTTTATATTTCAGAATAGAATGTGTAAGCGTAAATTATTTTGGTTATTCAATCATATATATTTTATTTATATTTTATATTTATTTATATTACTTTACATTTAACTTAAAACTTTCATTTAAAGAGGCTTTAAATCGTTACCCTCCATGCAAAGATGTCAATGCCTGAATTATTTCTATTAAAAATGAAAGACACTGTTGTTTCCCGACTCAAAAAGTCAATTAATTCTGATAATTTCATCATTGCTTCTAATAAACAAGAAATGCACATGTTACTTTTGAACAGAAACTGCAAATAAAATAAACAGCTTTAAAGAAACAAACCATGAATATATAATTCATACTTTATCATTGTAAATCATTGTCACATGAAATTACACTTACAGTCTCTTTAAATCCTACTGTTAATCCTACCTGTGTAAGAGACCACGTAGCCAGGAATAGTTTCCTGTTGTGTATTGATAAATAATTCATTTCAGGCATTCTAGATATTTCTTCCAAACTCCTATCCTCTTCCTTAAATTCAATAATTTAAAAGTTTCCAAATTATATTTCTCAAACGCAAATTTTTCTAAATGAAACGGATTAGAAATAATTACATTTTTACAAAAATGAAAAAAGAACTTTTCCCTTTATCTTTGCAACCTGATTGGTGTAATGTGTGATTTTAAAAATTAGATTATTATAGCTTGAAATATCGCAGGTCTAACACGTTGTGGTGTTACAAATCTCAATTCTTTGTAATAAACTACAGGGTGAGTCAAAAAAAAGTGTGATTTGCGGCGCCTGGTGCAAAATTGTACCTTTTTTGTGTTTTTTTTTTCAATATTTTTCAAAAATTTATAATTTTTTTAATACTCCAATTGTCCAAAAGAATATCCGCGAACCTTTTTTTCTCTCACAATCAAAGTTCAGAAAAGCAAAAATGTGTATTTAAATTATTTTTATCGAAATCTAAAAATGTTTAAAGATTGAATTAAAGAATCACAGAAAATTCTCAAAATTGTAATAAGGAAATTCACAAATTTTAGTTCTGTTCTCATTTTTAAGAAAATTATTGAAATTCTCTAGTTCCTATCTTCATAGTTTATTCTGAAGTATTCAATAAACGCTATTCAGTTGAAACCCTAAGAACCGTCAAAAAAAAAATTTTCCGTAAAAATTATAACAGAACTGAAAATTGCGAATTTTTAATTTTCTAAAGAAACAATTCATTTACACATTTTTGTTTTCTGAACTTTTAATTTTGAGAGAAAAAAAACCATACAGGAGAGTTGAAAATCATGCTTTTGAATGACTCAACCTGTACTTGGATGACTAGCGGTGCGAAGCATGGTGAATTCTCATGGTTACCTGTTCTGTGTTTCCCACCCTATGGTAGGATATATGATCCCTGGAAGCCACCTTCACCTTCAACAATTCAAGGGACTAGCATCTAAAACTGGGCAAAGTTGAAAATTTACAGAAGAGTTCGTTCTTCACTGGTTAGACCGTTCATTTTTAATTAAAACTGATCAGTCATTTTTAAAACGATTAAAAAGAAAAACGAAAAGGATTTTTTTATACATTGAATTTTGTTTTTTTTTTCTGCTAAAAATTGCATGAAAATAATATGTATTTTATAGTTTTAAATGTCGTCTTCTTTGTTCTTTATTTAAGGATTTTATTAACTGTTAACTAATTTCTTTTTTGACGCTTCGCACCGTGAATGCTGTTAATACTGAAATAACAAATGCTCCGTTCTTACCTTTAACCCTAAACAGGCTGGGGGGGGGTTTGGTGCCCCCCCCGTAGTTTTTTTTGTCGTAGCACTCTAATTTTTAACGCTATCATCGTGAAATTTTATGACTTTGAATGAATAGTTATTTAAAGGATTTTTTTTGTAATTTTTTTAATTTATAGGGTATATTACAGGGTGGAAAAAAGTTCGATCTTTGGAAAAAAATTCTAAAATAGCCCATAACTTTTTTGTGACTAAAGCTACATATTTAAAAACAATATTTTTAAAAAATGGATACAGAAACATGTGTTTCAATTTGACATTTGTTAAAAACAAAAAAATATTGTTTTCATTCTCCTGACCCTTTTACTGCCGTTGTATTGAACACTCCTTAGCACCCAAACTATTAGAGTTATCATCGATCTAATTTTTAATTCAATGAGCTGGCATTGGCAAATTAGGTTATGCACATGCATTTCAACCCTTTACCTACTCTCTAGGGCTTTTTCTAGGCCCCCCCCCCCGTCCATATATAGATTCAGACCCCCAGCCTGTACAGGGTTAAGTTTAACAGCTACCTGAAATTTTTTTTTTAGATGGTTGGAACTAAGCGTTAAAGAAACTGCTAGAAAAGTTTGAACGTGTCCCGCGCTACTAGCATCGCTTTTAAAGTAAAACTCTTTTAAACAGATTGAAAAGCCTGATTCTAAACAGTATCATAGCATGGATATTTTTCCCGTTTTTCTTACTAATAATTTTCAATTGAGTTTTCTTATTGTTTTAATAAAGATTTAAAAGGGAACTGTTTTCAATGGTAAATGTAACTTTTTCATAATTTTGGTTTTCAAATAAATAAATGAAATGGTTTTCAAATTAAAAAATAAAATGGTTTCAAATAAATAAATGAAATGGTTTTCAAATAAATAAATGAAATGGTTTTCAAATAAATAAAAAATGATATGAGTCAATTCATTGAATATGTGTGCGAATCGCAAAAGAGTATTTTTTAAGTACCTGGTTTAATACAGATTAAATTGCAAGAAATAATCAATTATAGTTTCTGGAAAAAAACCATAAAAATACATGGGTAAATAATAATTTCAATCATCTACATTGAAAAAGGACAGATAATGTTACCTTTTCTCTTAAAGTTATTGAATTAATGATTGATCTAACCAACATTCATAATCTAAATTCATTTTCGATTTTACAGAAATTCTGTCAAAGAAGATAAATCTTGTTAGTTATCAAATTTGATAATCAGTTAGAAATTTGCCAGGTTCAGAATTTTCTCTAGATTTGGAACTGAGTTTTTGCCACAAACTCAAATATTCTAATCCCTAAATCTTTGCACCGAGTGGTGTAAACATTTGATATTTCAAACTTTTTTATTTTACCATAAGAATTCAAAGTTTGATATCTACGAGTACTCTATAAACTCAACACAAATAAAATACAGTTCAGAACTTTTTTTACATTAAATGTTTACAATAGCCTTTAGCCTTGAGAATTGAGAAAGATAAAAATATTCTTTTTAAAACTAAACAATAGTATAATAAAATTTCTACAATAACTCTATTTGTTTTCTTATTCCTGTGATACTAATTTTCGCCATTCATTCTTTCTTTTCATTCTGCACGGGGGGGGGGGCGCCCCCCCCCTCTCAGGTGCTAGGGGAGGGCGCGCGCCCGGCCGCCCCCCCCCTAGTTGCGCCTCTGGAAGGGAGGGGAGACGTTAATATTATTGTGAATATCAAACAAATACCATGAGTATGCTATTTTAACTTTACTGATAAAGAGATTAACTTCTATACGTAATAAATAAACTATTCACAATATAAGTATAAACTAAAAGAATGAGAAATATTCACGTTTTGGTTTAACCCTATAAAGGCTGGGGGTTCTGAATCTATGTATTGAACTCTANAAAAAGTCCTGAGAGAATAGAAATAGGGTTGAAATGCATGTTCATAGCCAAATTTTCAAGGCCAGCTCAATGAAATAAAAATTAAACCGATTACTTTAATACTTTGGGTGCTAGTGAGGGTTAAAAAACAGGGTCAGAAAAATGAAGAAAAATAGCCCACAACTTTTTTGTGACTAAAGCTACAATTCTCAAAACTGTATTTTGAAAAAGCCCTTTCAAATGCACTTTGATATTTGTTTAAAACAAAAAAATAATTTTCTTTTTTTCTTAACCTTTTTTCGGCATTTTTTTCAAACCTCCCTAGCACCCAAACTGATGAGCTGGCCTTGAAAAATTGGGCTATGCACATGCATTTTCAATCCTGTACCAATTTTCTAGGGGGGGGGGCACCAAACACCTACCCCCCCCTGGCATACATAGATTCAGACCCCTTAACCTTTAAAGGGTTAAAACTAGTGTTTTGGTTAAAATAAAGAAAACCGGTTGCTATATCTTTAATAAACCTGGCATATAACAATCTTTTAACTGGAACACCCTCACTACATTCTAGATGTCTCCTCTCCCTTTCCCCTCGTACAAAATATTTAATCTTAAATTAAATCAGCATTGGTCATTTTATAATATCATTTTATATATATATATAATAAATCGTACTAAATTTATAAGACTTAACGAAAATGTATCACATGTTAAATATTTAATTTAACTTAAAAGTGTTCGCACAGCACTATAACTAAAAGTATGAAACAGCTTATGAAAATGTAAACAAACGTGATTACACAAGTGTCTGCTATGTAGCTGTATACAGACACCACTGCCTTCCAGCTGCCTGCCTGCCTAGATACTACTCAGCTTACTAGACTATATATACGCACTATATACTGCACACGCGCTCTATCAAGAGAGCCGGACATTCAAGAGAGTATCTTTGTACGAAACTCCAAATTTCTTTTTCGGGGTCTTTACATTTGCGTAGATTTAAATATAAGAAATGAGAAAACAGAAATAAAATATTAGGACATAACATGAAATAATATTTCTTGATACCAAAATAAGAGAGAAAAGGCAACTTTTAGTCATTTAATTTTGATTTTTAAGAATAGATTATACAAACATTTCAATTATTCCCACACCCTCTGCAAAATAAGACGCCCCTGTTGGTATCTATAAAAATGTCTGAAACTGAGTTTCCGATACTGGGTTTTAATAAGATACTGTCTGAAGTTTCAGTCACAGCCGGCCTGGGTCGCTTTCTGAGTATATATAATGGTTAGGCTTGTTTTATATAAACCTTTATTTATAAAGGGATGATATTTCATAAAATTTCAGATTTCACAAATTTAAATATATTGGCGGGCCCCTCCAAAAGAGATTTGGGGGGGGGGATAACCTTTTTACTGATCCCTTCAGAGGCGTTTTTTGGGGATGGGGAAGGGGGTTCGAGGGCTATGGCTGCTCAAAATCATCCTTGTATTTGGTCCTTTTAGTTCCTGAAAGCCATTATTGCAAATTTAAAAAAGTAAATGGTTTCCCGCGCGCTGTTCAACTTTGATTATACTCTAGAAGATGGTTTCCCGCTGTTCAAGTTTGATTATACTTCTACAATGTGTTTAGTGTATTCTGTACAGGCTTGATGGGTGTCATCAAAGAGAATAGAATATATATTAGAGTGGAATTTACTAGAAAAAAGGGAAAAACGGCCATTTTGTTGTACTGTTTCCATACCGCAGGTGAACTTCACATATTTATGCTCTATAAAACCTTTTGGGCCCTGGAACATCATTTTAAAGAAAATCTAAAATTAATATTAAAAGAAAACCAAATTATGAAATAGGCTGGTTTCATAATTGACCAATGATCATTTCACATAGATTCTATGCTTTTCACTTCACAAACGATGATTTTCCGTTATAACTATAACTCAAAGGATGTTTTTATTCACCTAATTCATTATAAAGTTTGTTTAACAGCTTTAAAAAATTCGAAATTGAAATGGATAGTCTAGAGAATATACTGTATTAATGTACTCTACTGCATATAATTTGTGAACATTTACATGATTTGTACACTTTGGTGACATGGAAACGCCTCAACACGGAAACGAATCAAAAATACGCGGAAACCCCTCAAAAACCGGTTTTTTTTTTAGGCATTTCCGCAATTTCTTCAAATTTTTCGGAAATCCCTCTAAATTCAAATTTTGAGGAGTTTCCTCTTTTTTTTGATCGATTTCCCAGAGTTGTATATCCGTTTCCCCTTTATTTTATTCAAATATTTTAGAGGGATTTCCCAATATTTTTGAGGGGATTCCCAATATTTTTGGTCCGTTTCCTCATTTTTTTAATCCGTTTCCGCTTTTTTCTAAAACTTTAAAATTGATCTGTTTCCTCATATTTTGTATCGGTTTCCTCAAATTTTTGATCCGTTTCCTCATATTTTTGATCCGTTTCCGCTTTTTTCAAAAACTTTAAAAATCTCATTTTGTTGATCGGTTTCCTCAAATTTTAGGTCCGTTTCCTCATATTTTTGATCCGTTTCCGCTTTTTTCTAAAACTTTGAAATTGATCTGTTTCCCCGTATTTTTGATCGGTTTCCTCAAATTTTTGATCCGTTTCCGCTTTTTTTGATCTGTTTCCGCTTTTTTCAAAAACTT